TTGTATTATGTACAGTATGTCAGGTAGTATACCCGTGAATTTTTTCAACTCTTGTAGAATCGGAAATAAAAATTGGAACAGTTCTCGATAGTTAACAAAATTTGAAAATCATGTTGCAATGCTCAAATGATAAAGAAAAGATTCGGAATACACTTCCTTAGCTGACCATCTTCAATCTTCTATTTTGCATAGAAATCCGCTGTCTATCGATAAGAGTTTTAGAAACTTTTAATTGAACAGAAATTAGTTGGCTGTAATAATCTCATTTAAACTTAACGCTGCATGCTACTTTCTCATGCATTCCCAATTTTTACCTAGTGATATCGCGGCTAGTTTTTAAGCGCTTTTACACAAGTTCAATCATGAAAAGTCTCAAATTCCTACGAAATCGACTATTTTTTACCAGACGCTAAACTATTAACGCCTTTTATATGAATAGTACGTATTTAAATTACGTACGAGCTCGTTACAAGCACAAGTAGTTTAATCGTCGCGAAATTCGTAAGTGATGGAACTGCAAGAAGACATAATAAGACTGGTGAAGTGCCGTAAATTTATTTTAAAAAGTTTATCGAAAGCTGACTTGCACAATCTCGAAACTGTTTCAAGAGATATGCTAAATGTCTAAATAGAACAAACACTTTTAATTAAGATTAATAAGAATCTCTTATAAAGTTAGAAATACATTGTACATAAAATGTTACGATCTATAGAAGCAATAAATCTTGTAACTATTGATAACTACTATTCTAATGAACGACGTCGTGTGAGATGATCGAATTATATTTTGGATACGAAGCAATAAAAGGAGAATGATCTATTTTGTAAGCTTGTCGTTTGATCGATGTACAAAACAAAGGCACTGCCATGACTTCAGAATCTACGTCAATTAAATACTACTATACTATATAAATTCCTATTTTTTTACAACTCTCGCGCGATCTTAAATTTTGTGTGAATTTAAATTTTTCACGTACATTTAGAAAATGAATGATATTGAAATTTTGATTTGAACATAAACGTCGATTATCTCGCAGATACAATATAACGTTTGAATAATAATAAAAAGTGCAATTTAATTATACGTTCGGGTATAATATATTTGACAACTAATTTATGTTTTTCGTGGCAAATGTTACATTGTACGGTGTAATTGATAGTACAAAATGTAAATGTGAAATTGATGGTACGCTTGAAGAATGAGAACGAATATTTAATTTAATGGATACAGGAATGTCGAAGATATTTTTCTTCACGTACAATATTAAAATATAAGCTGAATGTCTCAATCTCTGATTACTGGCTTATTTTTCTACAATTTTAAGATAACATATAAAATGATGGGAAAGTAAAATAACATAAAGTTAAGTGAGTTAAAATTGGAAAAGTGAAATTGGTACATTTATTTAATTAGTTGAATGCATATGGCTTTCAAATCGTATTATTTCTTCGTTTATTTAAAACAACTGTTTAGGTGAAAAAATTAAGGAACACTTTATTTCATTTAAAAACCTCTTCTCGAGAGTACCACGTTTTATACAACATTCTATGTACAATTAAAACATGAATTAAATCAGTTTAATTTACATAAAAAACAGTTCGGAGAGGTAAAAGAACTTATACAAAATGTGTATGTGTATGTGTGCATCCAAATCTGATTACAATAATTGTTTTTTGTAATATATATATATAAAGTAAAATTTAAAGTTTTTCTGATTTCGTGTAGAGTAAGCATTCCAATAATTATAATTCTATCTCCTCGTCGATAAATGTTTATATAAATGAAACAGTTTTATATATATGTTCTTGTGATACAGTTCTACGATATATCGATTGCTCTTTATCTGTAATAATAATAATAATAATTATTATTATTATTATAATCGTGTAAACGTGTTTGTTAATATTTTATACAAAAATGTGCAATAAATCAGGCTTGACAGGTATTTAAATACTTGTCAGTTCTTCGAAGTTGCAGAACGATTTACAGTGCACGTGTCTGTGGTACTCAATATTTTACAATATATAATTAGTATTAGGAATAATATATTGTATAAGAGCTTTAGCACTTTAGAAGTGTTTGTATCAAATCACCGGCAATGTTTATAACATGTAGTGTAATTTTATAGTTCTTCTTTAAGGATGCATAGGCTATATACTTAAACAATGCTAGCATGTTGAATTTGTTATTA